TCCTGAGCTCCTGTCCTTCCTGCATCCTGAGCTCCTGTCCTTCCTGCATCCTGAACTCCTGTCCTTCCCTCATCCTGAGCTCCTGTCCCGCCTTCATCCTGAGCTCCTGTCCCGGCCCAGGTCGGTGCCGCCCGCCGAGCCCCTCGGGCAGGTCCTGGGGCCCGGGGTGGATCCACATCTCTCTGATACTTCTTTTGTCCTTGTTAGTTCCCAGCGAACATCCCGCTCCCAGGCACCGCGGGCCTGTTTCATCTAGAAAAGCACAAAGCTCAAACGTTGCCATTGAAAACAATGGGATGGAGAGGAAAAGCCCCACGGGAGCTGCGTTTGCTGTGGCCAAGGGAAGGGGCAGAGGGATTTAAAAAAAAACCTGCTGAGGAATGTCAGGGAAGCACAGTCAGTCCCGGGGACAGATCATCCTCTGCCTCCCAGCGCTGCCAAACCTTCTTACTCCTTACAACTGGTGACACACACACACGAGAACATCATCTAAGTGCAGATAATTGGTTTATTGAAGTCCAAATTTACAAGTGAAGTTTACAACTTCTTTTTTTTTTTTTTTTCCCCAAAACAAAAGCTTTGTTTGAATTTAGGAAAAATAAATGTTTTTTTTTTTTTTTTTTTTTTTTTTTTATAATGTACAGACTATATCTCTTAAATAAGTTAATATCTTTGAAAAAAGAGCAATATGTTCCTTTTTTTTTTTTTTAATGTTGCAGTGCAACTTACAACTTACACGTCTGTGCAATGTACCATGAGGTATATGCCCAGTGAGCAACACACAGTGAAGTTTTCCATTCATAAATTTTCATTGTAGACGCACAAAAAAGTTAACAAGTTAATCCGTGATAGAAAAAACGCAGCGGATCACAGTAAATTCACACTGAACTCATCTGGGAAGAGGGGAAAAAAGAAACCTAACCTTTGCTGCCTATAGAAACTATTGGTTCATCTCTCAACATAGACAAGTAGAAAATTAAAAATACTGTATTATCCAGGGGTTGAAACCTAGTTTTTCCTGGTCTAGAGCAGTTAGTTTTCTCTCTCTGTGGCATCCATGAGCCGAGGGACTTGACTAAGGGTACGAAAGTGCTTAATAAGCAAGATGGGGATTATAAAAAAGTTAGAGAATGCTGATAAACTGTGATACCACTCAGACACTTTCCCTGGCATAGGCAGGTTGACCATCACCCCTCCCATTTATCTCACAGCTGATGAGAAAACCAAGGTTGAAACATGGGACATTACCAATAGGTGAAGCTTTGACGCTTCAGACTTTTCAAGATGGCTCTAGAATAGTTATTTTTCATCATGACAGAAAACATGTATTTATTTTAGAAAGAACCAACCACAACATAAGTTTGTGATAAATAACAGTTCTGCCTCTAATACATATATACATACTGCTTGTAAACAAAAAAAATGCCCACAGGTCATGGAGTCTCCATGATTTTTATACAAGGCGCTATCGATTTATTTTTGTTATTGAAAACAGTCCTAGTGAAAGTTTGGTTTATAACCTCCTATTGCTACAGAAACAGTAAGAATGTCTATATTTACAAAGAAAACAAAGACCATGGAGACCCCATCGCTTTATTTGCTGAAGGTTTTCAGTGGGTGGGGTTTTGAAAACACACGTTGTCAGCATGTTCAGATTGGAGGAACAGTGCAGGTTGAACACCAGCAGTACGATACTCTAGTGCTTTGGTATTTCAACCCCTGAATATACAAAGACATTACTACAGCCTACTTCACAGTTTAATGCAAGTAAAGTGCAAGCCATAGTACAAGGGTGTCATACATTTTCATACATGTAAGCATTATCTAAAAAAGGCTCTCTATACAAGTTTTATTAGCTACTTTAGTAAACTAGACAGAAGTCACCTATGGCCCAGCAATTAATGGTCTTACAAGGATATTTTTCTTTGTAATACAGTATGTGTCAAATGTAAA